GCCAAAGCATGGACACTGAGCCACTACTAGAAGCAAGACACCAATATGGAGCCACACTCCCCATGAAAGATCGCATTGGAGTCTCAACTCCTACAAAGATACAAGGGCTAGCTCTAATACACACAGAAGTCCCAGCCTGGGAAGGATGGGGTACCACCGGGTCCTATCTCCCGGGAAGCAACCTAGCTATCGAACCTTGACCGAGAAGTACTGGGGATATCAAACCTCACCCTCTTGAGACGAGGGGAGGACGCTGCCCTAGAAGCATAAAGAACCTTCACCTCTATCATCGCTCTATCAATGGAAGCACTTGTAATTGGAGACAAGGTTAAGAACCAGCATAGCCGAAGGCCATTATAGTCTCCCTCCTTCATAAAAACCTAGAATGCCAATTGGTTGCCCATGAATGCTTGACAACTACCTGCTAGAACACTACTTCCCACCACTGTCTATTTCACTAATTTGTGCTTAAAACTAAAATTAAGAGAGATATAAGTATTTTTTGAGAAAATTTATTGACCAAACTACCATTGGCTGTTTGTATGTCGTAGATCTCGAACAAATACCCGAATTCAAAAAAAAATCACCTCAAATGGACAATCGAGCGCAAAGTTATGATCGTTCAAAGTTTTACCAATTTTTTATAGTTTTCTAATGCTCTGGTCGGCGCCCCAGCGTCCACTCCCTTCTCCTGGATTTGCCCAGGTCTCCTTGGCATCACCCAGACCACCTACGTCCCCTAGCATCACCAATGACCAATACCAATACCAACCAGTGCCTAGTGCCAATGACTATAAGACGGCACCTAGGCAGTCTTGCCTAGGCTAGTGCCCAGGCAGCCTCGCCCAAGACACCTTGATGTCGTCCACTGGCCCCCTGCCTCGTTGTCCTCTTCTAACTCCTCCACTCCGCTGCCCCGAGTCAAAATAGCGCTACCTCCTCCTTGCCCAAGGGCGCTACTTCCTCCTTGCCTAAGGCCGCTGCCTACCCCTCGCCCAAGGGCGCCACCCAGCTTGGCCTGGGGCTTCGCCAAGGCATCCCCCATGGCCTAGCCCGGCGTCGCCTGGAGCTTTGCCAAGGCGTTGCCCATGGCTTTGCTTGGCACTACCCTGCCTTGATTTGGGTCCTCTCATCTCATACTTGTATCAAAGATAACAACCCCACTCCCGTTAACACCTGGATCGCCCACAATAGCCCAAAGGCGCCATCCACTATAGCAACCACCACAAGCAGTGCCCAACGCACTACCCAGCTTCTAGGCGTCGCCCAAGGCTCCAGTCCAACCTCTGGTGTCGCCCACAGTATTGCACCTAACGCCACCACGCCCCTCGTCCTAGGGCGTCATCTCCGCTTACACCCACTGACTCAACTCGCTAGACACAGGAGCCTCAACCTTCCTCGACACCTGCGTGACCCGCATTGGTTCTAGCAGCCGCCTAGCATGCCCACGGAGCTATTAGAAGAAGAGAATAATTTTCCAAAGTATAGGAGCAAAAAGTTCAAGAAGCTAACACCGTGGAGAACAAGAAACTAAGAGTTCACTCATGCCCTCAACCCCCTTCTCTCACAAGCAATTGGGGCTTGGGGTATGGGGGAAAATGACGAGCCCAAAATCAATTAGGTCAGGCCCAATGAATCAAGGAGGGTCAAGTCAGCTAAAGGGTGGCCCAGGCCCACTTTGCAGGTCCGACCTAGTTTAGGATCCAAGAAGGGCGTAGAGATAGGAGCACGTGGGAGAGAGAGAATATCGGGATATGCATTCATGGAGATCAAATCCTGCCTTAATTGTACTTATCAAAAAAGTAGTATCCTCTCCCTCACATCACCACTTCACCGCCTCAACATACCTATATAAGGTAAGCCCTCTCCACATAGAGGGCATCACCTTGAGACCTAAAGGCACCTCTACTTTTCACACACCTCTCTTTACACACGAAGTTTCTCTCTTCTAAAGCATTGTAACTCCCTCGGAGTCTACTCTTCCGGTTACTTTATCCATCAATAAAAAACTCCAGCCACTACTACCGTCTCCCGAGAGTGGAGTAGGTCATCCGGACCGAATCACTATATATCTCCATGTTTGCTCTTATTTATTGTTTTGTCATTGATTGTCTATTTATTGCTCATTAATTGCACTATTACATATACTCAACTGTTGATATTGTACAAGACAATTTTGTGCATCATTACACTACATACCTGATTCATGTATTAATTCATATTTAACAAAATGTGTGTAACTAGTATATAAACGACTCGTGTCTTATTTTATTTTTTTATTGACTTGTCATATTAACCGATCGTGTCATATTTTGATTGATATAGTGATGTTTTTGGTTCTATTTTTACTTAATTAGGAAAGAATCTTCCTCCACCATGTCATCATTTAATTTCTTTCTTGATTTTATTTTTTTTTAGTCAATCTAGTATTACTATTTTTATTAGTACCCAAGTCAATCTAAGTATTAATATTTGTGAGTGTTGGCCTATTTTAGGCTCTTCTATATAGATTTTGGGCTTTCAAATACTTAAAATGGTCTGCGGTTCTTGGTGGTTTTCAGTCGGCCCAGTCGGGTGTGGTGGGCCGAGCTTTGTTATGAACCTTAATTACCCACTTGTGGTTTGGTCATTTTATCTTCCTGTATTTTAAAAAACCTAGAAGCAATCCACTTTTGTTTTAAATATGAATGCTTCAAATTCATAAAAGTGAGGAAAATTTGAATAATAATGTTTTGCGGTTCATTTTTTCTGTCACACACTTACAAGAGGAGAACGTAGAGGTTCAAATTCGAGATCTTAAGGTCTAACAATAGGTCCGGTAGCCATTAAGCTAACCGCAAACCTCTTGTATTTGATAGTCAAAATTTTGAAAACATATTATAAAGAAGAAAAAGGGGAAGGGGGGTGTTGTTAATAGTCTTTTCCAAATTTAAATTTCATTTAAACAAAATTTTCCCTTTTTCTAGTTCAATAGCCCCTTTTTTTTTTTTTTTAATTGGTAGCTCTTAGTCAAGTCAATCACCAAAATTACCTTGTTACTATCAAAAGGTAGGGAAAACCCATGGTTGGAAACGAACTTTGCTTTACCATGACGATAATGATGTTGTTAGCTATCACCCAAGTAACAATTTTTGTATAGTAATCGGAAAATAAGAGAATAAAAAATAAATAGTAATTGTATATTACTTTGGTGTAATTTATTATATACATGAAGAGGTTTATTTATTATACAAAAGAATAGTAAAATTTTTTAATCTAACCGATATGATATGGGACAAATATATAAATATTATATAAATTAACATCCCCGTCAAACTCAAAAAGGTAAAGCCAACTTGAGTTTGAAAACTAAATCCCAAAATTGGCCCAACGGATGTGCTTTGACGAAGATGTCAGCAAATTGGTTAGATGAAGAAACAAAGGAAATATGGACCGTGCCTCGAACCACATGTTTTCGCACAAAATGACAGTCAATTTCAATATGTTTAGTGTGATTATGAAGAATATTATTGTGAGTAATCTATATCACACTCCAATTATCACAACAAATAATAGTAGCACCAGACGAGCCTAGGCTATGGTACTAGATGAAAGAATAAGAGTGGTCCAGTGGTTAAACTTGTGCTCTTGTAAACAAGAGGTCTCAGATTTAATACTTTTCACATCTCTTAATGGTCAATCACCACAAAGTAAGATGGAACCCTAAGAGTAGTTCAAGTAGTAATAGGGATGAGCTGTAAACTTAGACGTCTTGAGTTCGAATCTTAATAATTCTTTCAGGCCAAGCATCATGCATACCCTTGTTCCAATGTGGATAGTTTACCTTTGATCAAGCCGAAAAATAAATTAATCGAGGTACACTTAAACTGACTTAAAATAAAGATAATGTTTATTTATAGTATAAGACAATAATGAAGTTTCTCAATTTAACTGGCGTAGGACAAATATATATATATATATATATATATATATATATATATATATATATATATATATATATATATATATATATATATATATATATATATATATATATATATATATAAGTTAAATTTGAGACGACCAAATTGCATGAACCCTAATTCCAGCTTAGCTCATCAAGGATGTTCTAATAACCAAATTTTGTTAAAAGTTAATTTTCCTTTACCCAACCTTTTTTCTCGCTTTTATCAAATTCAAAAGATGTCTTTTTTCATTTTTCAAGAGATTGGAAGTTATTCCTCTGCTTAATTACACAATTACCTTGTAACTTCTCAAAATAAAAAAAGAGGAAACAAAAATCTTAATGAGTAGTAACATGTCTTGTTGGGGAGAAAATATTGTGCGCTCACCAGACACTACCATGTAGTGCCACGTGGTATACATTACATATAAAATATTATATATTCATAATCAATTTCTGGCACTTACAAAGTTGAATTTTGATTTTTTTTTTATTTTTATAAAAAACACAACTTATAGATCCGAGAAATAAGTGTTGGAATAACTTTTCATTGGGTATAAATACTATTGACACTGTCACCTAGTACCGTATAATCACATAATATTTTCTTCATTGGGATTGATTAGACAAATATGAATTGTTTTACCATGATGACAGTGAACAATATATTATCAAAAGGATGATGAAACGTCATCTCACCATGGCCACCCCCACCATTACTGGAAGTTATTCCAACATTATTTTTTCATACTACATCGACATTTCAAGTCAAAATGACCCAGTTCTTTTAACCCTAACTCCCACAATATCTCATCAAGGGCTCTATACATTGAAACCCCTCTCTCTATCTATATAGAATCTTGAAACTTTTGGGAACCATAAAACTATATAAATCGCACTCATTAACCCAGAATGAGATCTTGTCCAATGCATTTTGAGATTCATTGTATATAAGTGAATCCCTCACTAAATATGTATTGATAATTCGTCAAAAAAATATATATATATTAGAAGAGATATGAGTCAATTAGCATCCATATTTTAATGGGGTATCTATTCATCGATTTGAGACCTCATCCAAGAGTTTATACCTTCTCACCTTATTTCTAAACCTTTGTTTTATGATCTCAGTTTTTGATATGTCCTCCGACTTTGTCCTCCTCAGCCTCTTCTGATCAGAACCACCACCAGTGACGATCCTCCTTCGGGTTGAAGACGGTGGCAATCGCAGCTCCGATGGCGGTGACCGTTGTTTTTTGATGGGACTGTTGGGTTGCAACTTCAAAGAGCCTTTCTTTATGTTCAGATTTCCATGATTATTGCTGCTACTATTCTTTTTCTTGGTCTTGATCATATCATCCTCTCTATTTTTATATGAGGATGATGAAGAATTACAAGAGTTGTGTGTTTTTTCGGCTGTTTCATATTCCTTTTGACTCAGGCACCAATTGCAAACTCTGTAGGACTCGGCTCTTGGGTATAAGTTGCTACAGTATCTGCAAATTCAAGGCCAAAAATAGACCAAACAAGTTATATACACGTGGAGTCGCGAATCAAGCCTCTACGCATGGAAGGGTGAGACTCAAACTCGATACATTTGACCTCTCAGCGGCGGAAGCTTCGTATGTTAGGCTATGGGTGCAAAATATAGATGAAAGTTGAAGCCCATATAGAAAAATACAAAGGAAAAAGTGTTGTTTAAGTTACAATCACCCATTGAATTGAAAGTTGAAACTCTCAAAGGGATATGAGAAAGATTAAAAGCTTTGCTATGTAATTTGTTGGTTAATTACCTATGTTGAGATCTGAATTGGCAGGCTTTGCATCTGAAAAGCTCATTAGACAAGCCATAGTCTCCACACATGCAGCACTCGAGGCTAGGTTGCAATGGTGGTGCTGTATTTCCTCCCTTGCCTGTTGTCATCTTTTGTGTTATATCATGTAGAGAGAGAGGAGGGAGAGAGAGAGAACGTAATTTATGAGGGTATGGGTAGGCAGTCCACCACCACAACCAAAAAACAGAACATCTTGAGTATAAAATATTAATCTGATACCATTTTCATATGTCCCGTGATCATGTGTGATAACTACGTAAGATAGTAAATTGACAATAAGTTGCAAAGAAAATTGATTGGTGGTGGTGGTGGTGGTGGTTGATAACAACCATATTTACTTGTTTATTCTTTTGGAAATTGTTTGTCCATGACATCATCATAAATAAAAGTTGATTGCCCATAAAATTAAAATAAAAACATGGAAATTTTACTGAGAGACTGACTCACCAGTTGAAGGATTAGTGACGTAAATATATATAGAACTTAGAATTACTTAGCTAGTAAATTACATCGAGATAGAAACACCGTTGTTGGTAAGATACACAATTTGTAGATAATTACTCGTTTTTCAAGCTTGCTTACATAGATAAATTGTTCTCCAAACATCTAAGAAAGTGGTTTTAAGGTAGGTTCTCTTTCTTTCACCTTCTTGTTGGGTCACCAAAAATCCCTAAGAATAGATGAATATTAATGAAGTTATTGTCAATTCAACGAAAACAAAGAATTATGTCATCAATTTAGGTATATGATTATGAGTAGCGTAATCGTTTTCAACCCACCCATTCATTTGTTGTTGCATCAAAAGCATACAGAATGTACATCATAAGGCAAGGCCATAAAGAACTTACGCAACTCCTTGAACATTATTGGTATGAATCATTTCTAAGAGCCCTTTTAAACATAGAATTGTCCCCATATTCATACTGAATTCCAGATGATTGTCGTTGCCTTTTGCATTACATTCCCTCCCCTTTAGTCGAAGGAACTAAAGATCCTAAGCCTGGTGATCATTTCTCTTTTAAAGAATAATAAATAAAAAAAACCAATTATAGCAAGCTCTTTAGTTTCTTTGTTCTCAAGGGCAACATAACTGCTGATCCACAAGCAGAAACAAAGTCCACTTTCATGTTTGTATTGAGCCCTCAAATTCAAGAGTCTCAAGTCTAGGGACCTCTAGCCATAAGAAGTGGCTCGACGTACAAGATTTGAATCAAGCAAAACTAAAGGCATTCGTTGGCATCCGAGATTTACTCAACTAGTTTATTATCCCTGTGATATAAGGCAAGTGATGTTTTCTGTAAAGATTCTAAGGCAGAAATATTGCTAGTTTTTTTTTATAAAGAAATTGTCAAGACAAGAACTTTGAAGTGAAACACTAAACTTGAGACTTCATCGTCTTATTACAGTTCGAAGCCAAAATGACAAATGATCCCCTATTGGTGGTGGGTCATTCCATGTGGCTGATCCGGGTTATGACTCAGGATGGCACGGCCCATATGTGTTTTTATAATGGGTTAATTTTATTTTGTACCTCGAAAGATTGTTCGAATCTCAATTTGTACCCTCAAATTTAAAAATTTGTATCAATGTGCACTCCCAAAGATTAAAAATCTCAATTTACACCCTCAAAGATAGAAATTTATATCAATATGCACCCCAAAGATAAAAAATCTCAATTTGCACCCTCAAAGATAGAAATTTGTATCAATGTGCACCTAAAACTAAATTGATAAATTATACTTAGATCTCCTCATACTTGTCACTTAATTATTTAGACATCTTCACATTTAGAATATTACTCCTACATCTTATGACATTTGTGCACGTATAACACGTAACCTATTTTCATTGATATCTATTAATATAACCGTTAAAAAATATAATTTTATCCTAATAAAAAATTATAATTTCATATTACTTTTTATTTTATGGGTTCAATATATTCTAAAGCTCAAAATCTAGTTTACCATTTGAATGTCTAATAAAATGTAAATATTTATATAATGTTTTTCATATTACCTTTTATATAAATATCTATATTTTATTAGACATTCAAATGGTAAGCTTGATTTTCAACTTTAGAGTATATCGAATCCACAAAATAAAAGGTAATATGAAATTATAATTTTTTATTAGGATAAAATCATATTTTTTTAACGATTATATTAACAGATATCAACGAAAAGTGGTTATGTGTTACACTTGCACAAACGTCATGAGATGTAAAGGGAATATTCTAAATGTGAAGGAGTTCAAATGATTAAGTGACAAATATGGGGGGATCTAGGTATAATTTATTAATTTAATTTTAGGTGCATATTGATACAAATTTCTATCTTTAAGGGTGCAAATTGAAATTTTTTATCTTTGGGGATTCACATTGATACAAATTTCTATCTTTGAGGGTATAAATTGAGATTTTTGATCTTTGGGGGTGTAAATTGAGATTTAAACAATCTTTTAGGGTATAAAATGAGATTAACCCTTTTATAATTGACAAATGTTGATGATGAAAATTAACTTAAAATTTTAAATTTACTGTCAGAGACATGTTTAATTCAAGAAAAAAAATTCCCGGCCAAAATTGATTTTTGGAAAATGCCCAGTTCCTATTGGGTGTGGGATGGGACAGGCCCAACCATGGGCTTAGCACATTACAAGGCCCGCCTCATGAACCATACTTGTCACACTCTGGGCCGTTACTTTTAGCAGAAAGAGTTCAGGCCCCCATGGGGTGGCCCCCCAGCCCATAGGCAACCCCACAAGGAGCTAACATCTCAACACCTAAAGAGCTATTTATTGGTTTACTTTTGTGTTCCCCTCCATCATTCAGCTCAGTGTGGATTTTCTTTTTCACCACAACCATTTTGTTGGTTTTTTTTTTTTTTTTTTTGGGGGCGGGGGGGTGCATGTTTAGTTTGGGCCCATGTATTAAGCTGTCGTGCTCTAGCAATCAAATTGTTTGAACACTGTAACATAAAGAATCAAAAAGTGCTGCATTTCTATCTCTACCTATGCCATCGTTCTAAATTTAATTTACATGTACTAAAATATATGGAAAGGTTTAAGAACCCCACGCTTGTTGCTTATTGAAAAAATTTAGACATTTCGTTCCAATCTAATTGATATCGGTGGTAATAGTCGGCGAACTATTTTACCTAACCCATCTATATATATCATGTCTAATTCAAAGTTAGAATAAAGTCTGAGCTCATTATCTATCATATATCAATATGAAAGAACTCTTATATACGGCCAAACCTAAAACTCGTCAAGTGTCCTCTTGCGATTTTTTTGGTTTAGTATCAAGTCATCTTAAAATTCAGTTCCAAACATGACATTTTAACTACCATTGGACTAACATAATTACAACCATAATACCCGAACCAAACACCCCTTTATTCTCTTTGTTTGTCATCCTTTCGTACACTCTTCAGGGTTTCACTTGGCTACAAATAATTGCAAAACATGGGGCCCCCTCATCACGCTATCAAACTTTCACCATTTCAAGAGCAAAGGAATCAATAGGCATCACTGTCTTGTATCGGCCAAAAGCGTGCATGCAACGTAAGTCCACGGGCATGAAGACAACAAAAGCATCAAACAACTTAAATCACACCCAACCAATACAGACTTCCATGGCCAACCAGCCAACCACCAATAACCTCCAGCTACTAATGATAACAACACAGATACCGCCATGACAGTTTGCACGCACTCACTAGTCACTATAGTATCTGTATATATGTGTGTGTGTGTGTGTGTGAATTTTAACTCAATTTGGGTCAATTTAAAACCCTAAAAGGCTAAGCCATCCATTAAAGAATATTATGATCGATTCCAAAACGATCGACTCTGACATCTTATGGTTGATCTCAAATAACTTACTTTTGGTGTATCTCTCTCTCATAGTAATTTTGGATATGGTCTAGAAACGCAAGTATTTGTAATCGTTATCTTCCCAAAAAAGGTACAAAACACACTACCAAATGTCAAATAACACAACTATAAAGCATTATATAGATACTACGACAAATTTTACATAACCATGAAAAATATATCACACCATCATAAACTCGTAACAGGTGAATAGCAGTTTTGAACTTAGGTGAAAAACAAGGCTAGCTTTAGTTGATGCCGATTCCATGTAGGTGGTTCACTGAAGTCTAATACAAAGTGCTTGGTAAAAGAAAAAGGCTTCCTAGCCACAGCATTTTCTCCATCAGATAGAGAGCCCCACAAGATGTAACTCGACATGAGCATAAAAAGAGCAAGAGGGTGAGAGTTTGGTTCCAAGTCACCCACAAGGATAACCATCCTCTCTGGGCCTTCAGGGATAACCAGTCATTCTCCGCTCGTCCAAGCAGCCAAACACCATTCCCATATGTAATTGTTACTCTCTCTTAAGCCTCAAGATATGAACCTATGGTTCACCGAGAGGGGTTCAAGCTCTGTATCACCACAATTCAGTGTTGCACTTCCCACATAATGAAACATCTTTATACTGTCAAAAGGCTTGCTAACCACATCCCACCAAAGTGTACCTAATTTATCTCATGCATTCTTAAGTGGGAGAGGTGGAGAGACAACAGATTTCATAAATCAAAGCTACTGGTTCCAACTCAATCATTGAAGGTAGACTTCAAGAGCGGTTCAAGCTCTGCATCTCCACAACTTTCAGTGTTACTTTTCACACATAATGAAACATATTTTATACCGTCACAACCCTACTAGCCACACCCAACAAAGGTGTACCTAATTTATCCTGCACACCCCATTAAACATTATTCAATCAAATACCACTGCTATTACGACTACATTACAGATACTACGATCATTACTACTTGTAAGACAGGATGCATCTCAGAAAGTATCAAGCCCTAAAGCCTCGGCTTTTAGCTTCAAGGATCTCAAGTAATTAATAGCTCCATCAAGAACAACAATTGCATCCTTTCCCTTCCCACTGGGAATTATAGCCTGCAGAATGCTTATAGTCTCTTGTATTTTCTCTTTTGTTGATCTCTTGTTACCAGACAAGGAATCCGGGTTTCCCAAAACTAGATCTTGCTCTTTTCCATCTCCAGAACAAGATTCTGCATCATCCTCATTGTCAAAGCATCTATTGTGTTTCGCAGAGCTTGCAGTGTCCATGAGGGGAAGAAAATCATAGCTTCCATCTAAGAGTTTCTGCCTTTTTGCTGGCCCAGCAGAACTAGCAACTTCTTCATCAATTTCCTTGAACAATTCTTGCTTACCACAAGCTGTCATTGTACTAGGTGAATGACCTGTGCTTGTTTCTTCATCATCCTCTGAATAATAATTGTCATCATCAGAATAAAGCAAAGCATCAAGTTCCTCCGAGTCTTCCTGCATCTCACTTCCCAAATCATCTCCATGATTTTCTTCATCATATTCATCAATCATAAATGCCCCATAGGGAGATGTAGTAACCCTTTTTGTTCCTGGATCTTTGGTATTTGATTCATATGCACCAGGGGGTTTGGGGCTACAAGAAGTCAGACATGGGACAGGAGTCCCAATCCCAGAACTGAACATCAAGGTTGTTTGATCACCAGTCTGATCAAACACAAGGAATGTCTTCTGAGGACATCCAAAACCCACATCAGGAGCTCCACCCCATTTACAGTTTTCATTCAGATTAGCAGGAAATTGCTCCTTAGGAACAGAGTTCAGTGCAGGAGCAAAAGCTTGCTTGAAACGAGGCAAGCAGTAGGACCACCCATGAGGTTCATTCGGCAGGCTTGCCTTAAGATGAGGCAACTCAGAAAACAGAAATTCGGGTGATGTCCCGTTAGCAGAAGCCGTATTACCCAATGGGTTCATATAAGCACGGACAGTACTTTGCTGCTCCAAGTTGAATGCAGAACTGAAGGAATTCAAGTAGGGTGATTGCCGATCAGGATGTATGCGCGGAAACAAGGATCCGAAGTCCTTTTCCATCCCACCACAACAATCACCTAACAATTAACAGAACCGATCCCCACAAAACAAACTACTCATCAGATCAGTCATACCAAAAACAAGCCAATTTTCAAAAACAATCTATAAAGCTACACATCATGAAACATACCAGGTGAATAATGATCGTAGTAATACTGCTACAGATGGCTTATTACAGGCAGATTTGTTCGGGAACAAAGAGAAAAACATAAAAAACCCAGATTTAACTTCAACAGAAATCCGCAACAATCAAACTACGTGACAGGTTTAAGTAAATGACGGAAGTATTCAGCCTGGAAAAATACCCAACGACAAGGTATCATTTTCGATTTCCTCAAACATAATAAACAGCTTAACATAAGAATAAAGCATGTTGTGAGGGAATCAGGAATAAAATTTTAAAGAATCTAATTCTGCTAAAAAGATGGAATATTTTCTTACTGACCTGGCAATCCTGAAGAGGTTGAAAACATGCTATAACTCTAACTATTATGGTGGCGCACCCAGCAATTCCATTCTCATGTTTCAATGCCCGAAATCTTGTTTGGCCAGCTGCTTGGCACACCATAACTACTTCTTCCCCAACCCTTTCAAATCAGAACAACCCACAAATTTTTCCAGCAAACAACAATTCAAAAATCCACAGCCCCTTTGAATCAAAAGAAAAACAGCACTAACCCACCAACAGAAATAGGAAATAGATCGGAATCAATGCCAAGAAAAAATGGAGAGTGATTTGGGAATTCAGCTAATCCTGCGTACGTAGCAGGGAATGACAACAAAGCGACTAGATCCCATGGAATGAAGGTAAAAGTTAAGGCACAAAGAGAGGGAGAGAGAGGGAGAGCGAGAGCGAGAGGGAAAGAGAGAGAGAGAGAGAGAATGAAATAGTTGTGGATATAATATGGGTTTGCAATTACAGAATAACACGGCAGTACAAGTTCAAAGAGACGACTTTTCGGAACACATCAATGGAGAGACTGCACCACCGCATGCTGTTCTACTTTTCTGATGACTGATTGCCACGGCTATTCTTTTTGTCGATTCGAACCAAAGCTCCTGCAACAGTTTTATAGACATCAGATAATAGGAATGAAAAGGGTAAGCCTCTTTACTTGTACATTTTGCCGAATAATTTTTTCCCGGAAAACAAAGAAAATCTGAACCAAAAACTACCAAAAAACCCATAGAAATAAAACCCAGAACCCACCAAAATCAAAGCTTATTCCAAAGCAGATGGGTCATCAAACAAAGCCACAAACTATCAAAAGATCTGAAACAAATCCACCAAAAATGCTATATCAGGAAATCTATAAAAGAACAAATGCCTTACAGTGAATGAAAACCAAGCCCCAAATTGCTTATCCTCAAAGCACAAAAACCAGAGACTCAGATCAAACCCACAAAGGAAATTCCAAAAGGCACAGCAGCGAAAAAGAGCAGGCAGAGAGAGCGAGAGAGAATGAAGGAAGACAGAGTACAGTCAAAGTCGAGAGGAGTGCACGGAGGGTGAGACTATATAGACCAACAAATTGACATGAATGTCCCTTCCTGCCCGTGGGGTTTAATGTTTTCATACGTGTGAACCGCACGCTTGGGTGTATTAGTGTACAATCATGTAATGTAGCATTTGCGATTGGGGGTCCTCTCCTGTGTGTGTGTGTGTGAGAGAGAGAGAGAGAGAGAGAGATGTGATGAACTCATTCATGACCCATCGTGGGGGGCGTGGCCCGTGGGTGGGCCCATGGGTGGGTGTATCATGATTCCAATGGAGATCCATGGCCCATATGGTTTGGTTTGAACCATACCCTTGGGTTTAAGATTGGTTTAGTCATGACCTGTTGCTTCTTTTTGGTCTACCATTCTACATAAGAATCTGGAATATAATCATGCCTACATTTTCAAATTTTGATGAATTTTTTTTATAATAAAAATAATTTTATTGTGTTGCATTCTATGCATAATAAGTAAATCTGATAATTTTTTTCAATGTCATCAAGGGTTTGTTTTTGTATACCTCCGTAACCAATGTCAAAAACATTTATTTCTATAATTTTACATAAACATTTTAGTTAATACGTCATTTCTTACTCTCTTCTCTTATAGATAAATTATTGCATCTTCAAAAAATTATAGTATTTCTATAACTCAAATTCATAATGACTAAAACCTTGACACAACCACCTTATCATTGTTAGAATAACTTGCAAAATTTTTCGATTATTAAAGAAGTTTTTTTCAATCTATTTTACCTTATGAATCTACACTTTCTCTTCATGTTGAATGATAATTGGAATTACTTGCTTCTTTTTTAATCGAACTTTCACAATTGACTCCTTAAAATCTCTTTTTTTTCAATAGTCAGGGATATTCGAGTCAGTTTATGCGTACCTTGACTAATACCTTCTCAAATTTGATCAAATTTAGGTTATCCACACCGGAACTAAGGTATTCATGAAAAATAAATCTCTCTTGATCTGACTTTATAATGTTATCAAGATTTAAATTTAAGACATCTAAATTTATAATTTATCTCTGTTATTAATTGAACTATCTTGAGATTTGAAGTCTCTTAAAGATACAAATTGATCCATACAAAGATGAGGAATTATGTTAGTAACTTTAGCATGATTAAATTTGGCCACAGCAAAGACTAATAATGGTGAGGTTTTTTCTCTCTTTTTACTTTCTGGCAAAGGTGAAATAAAAAAAAAATACAAGGATAAAAGGAGATGGTATCCTATGTTTTACATGAAGACCAATTATTTAAACCTTGACCGTTCAAACCTTGAATCATGTAATCAAAATGAGGCCCCACTGACCTACCATTGCATCTTCAAGTTATACATATGCAGAAGAACCTACTTTAGGACTGGGTTAAAAAGCCATAAGGCACTGGCCCACAAAAGAGTACAATAATACTTTTCATTGATGTGATTCATAGCTTTGTTTGAACCATCAAGAGAGTCATAGATGGTGCCTGAAAACCAGGGATAGTGAGAACCTTTTGGTTCTAACTTCCTACTCCATACATTACATATTGTCATTGCCACTTTATAAACATTTAATCACTTTCTTAGCCTTCAAAGGGTTTTTTTTATTTATTATAAGATATTTAGGTTTACGTCGACTATTCTATCGAATTTGGATACTGGTGATTATCAGTCCAAACAAGCTTAAACATATCTCTTAAAGAATAAGAGTGATTAATCCTTAATAAGCATGTCCGTAGAAGATTTTATTTCTCCATCTCTCACTTATTTGTGCTTACAATATTACATGTAGGTTTACGTACCCATTCATTAACTAGGCATATCGAAAAAATCAAGTCTTTGTCACACGAGTCCAACCTAAGGTTTTAAGATTATGACTACTGAACGCTTCATTTAACATGTCATCGAATGAGAGTTGAGAGTTTTTATTTCATTAAGATTCAAGTTAATCTTTTCGGACTTTAAACTTAGTGACTACAACTTAATTCAGGATATTATAATAACTCATGAATTACATGTATTATTATAGCAAATCGAGAGTTGAATTTGAAATTTAAAGTAGTAAGAATTTTTTTTCCTAGTAACAATAGTACCATGATGTTTTTATATTTGAATCCATTTCGATGGATTATCGTTGAGATTTTATGCTTTCAAAGTAGTGACTCATAACTTATTATAATCTAAAAATATTAAATTTTGGTATTTTTTTTTATCAAAGGTATTGAATAAATTGCAATCGAATAAGAGTTTGGTAGCTAATTGTGTCCCTTTCATGGTGACAAAGATTAAAACCATGTTGTTATGAACTCGAAAATTTTATTAGGTTTAACTTTGAAGAACTTACCTCACTCGTTCAGACCTCAATATTATCTTCTTCTTCTTTTTTGTTTTGGTTTAATAGTCACAAATGTCCAGACTAACTTACACGTCATTTTAATGTTATCTGTATGACGAGGTCAAGATTCCTTTTACGAGACCTTTCTTCTCCAGCTAATTTGAAACCTGTCTCTCTCTCTTCCTTTGCTTATTATATGGTAGTAGGTGTTAATGCGAAAATGATAGTCAAAACTTCAGGTAATGCTTCTATTTATCCAGCCTTGATTGAGCTTACTGAATATTTAATGGGATGTTTGATTGTTTCATACTATTATTGTAGTTAAAAAAGAATGGAGCAGATAGAATCTGTATGAATAAAAGATAAACGCCTATCAGAGATGTTAGCCAACCGTGTTCTTAAAGGAAGATACTCTAACCCAAGTCAAGTTATGGTGGTCAGCCGTTGAGTTTGAAGAAATAGTTGGCATAAAGTTGAACACTTTGTAGCCAAAAAAAAAAAATTGTATCAACTAAGTACCTTTGTCAACAAAATCGTGGCAATCAACCTCTTCCGTAGAATTCACCCTTCGAAACAAATACAAAATCCAAGGACAATAGGAACTCAAATAGCAAAGTAAAACAAATGTCGTTGAGTTTTATTTCTGTTGGCTATTATGATTTCTTTTGTTTTAGGATTAAACTGAGACAAATTCGAAGTTGTCGTACATGCATTATAAAATCGAGGCATCACTCGGGGCATCAATGGTATTTATCCAAACATAAAGAAAAAGTAAAGCCTGTCTAATCAGGCCGTAGTTCCACACTAATTAAAAAAATAATCACCTGAAAAAAGATCTTAGACACAGGTAAGAAGATCCACTATACCCAATAATTTATGAACTATACAATAAATTATGAACAATTATATGTATACTTTGATGCCCTTTTGTTTGGAGTGGAGGGAACAAATAAACACACCCCATTGAGTTCATCATCCCCTTCACAATCCCATTGGGTCTACCCTTTTGGAAGCACTAATACACTCCTCCATATACATATGATATGTAAAGCAAGGATTCCCCCATTAGCATGTCATAAGGGTTATTTAATTATAATAATCACTTTATTAATCAAAATTGTTGAATAATTTTTATTTATTTATTTTTCAATTTTTGGTTTTCAAAGAGTGGC